CGTGAGGGCGGGTGGGAACGCGGTCGAAGACGCTTGTACAGCTCTAGGTCAGTGGCGGCAGTTGGCGTTAGGTCAAGCTTCAAATTAATGGTCATGTTGGTATTTCTATTCGCATTAGAGGATTCCGGCAGAGGTTCATTGTGAAATAACGTAGTTAGAAATTTGTAAAATGCAGTCATGAGAGCGGCGTCATCAGCAGGAGGGGTCAGTGTCCCTCTTCAGTGTGCCGTCGTCAAACACCGGAGTGTGCATCGCAGCAGTTGAAGACCCCGAAGTTTACCCTGTTTGTTGCCTTACATGAGACACCACGTTTGGGCGCGAGGGAAAGGATGGAGGTCATTAGGGATGTCTCTCCCACACCTATCTTTTGTAATTGAACAAATAAAAACCAACCAACTGAGCGATGTGGATTTTTAGAATTATCTCAAGCATGGTGTGTACAGCAATCTCAAGTTCTAATGGAGCAAAGAGTATAGTCAAGGAAACGAGGGTATTTCAGTTATCAATGCGCTTGTCACTTTATTTAGATTAGGAGGAGGCGGGGAAAATCATTAGATCTTCAAAAAATGGGTTGAGCTGCAAATCAAAGGAGGATTTTCGAAATAACTTCAGCGAGTGAACATGTGGGCTTTAGAGGAGGAAAACATCATCTGCGTATTCGAATACTTGGGGTCCAAGAACCACACCGTACCGAGCCTGATTTAGAGTTGATGACCTGTATGGAACTAGGCTTTAAAAATTAAGGAGTTCGATTTATAACGGCAGAACAGAGATTATGAATAAATTCCATGTCAATATCCAGTTTTTTTCTTGTGAACAACAAATACAAAGTTCTCAGAAGGATTCTGAAGGACGGACCGAAACAGAGTATGGATAGGCAGACGCTATCGAGGACTTACTTTTTAGTGCGTAGTTGGTGAGGAAGCCCAAGGCTTGGGAAGCGGGGACGGATGAGAATTCAACCATAGATAAGGGCCACTCCTTTGGGGGCTCAAGGGAGGCTTTTGAGAAATCGAAGGCTGCAGCGTGTATAAGGCCGTCTTTCTCTGGATTTTTGAGCAAATTTTTAAAAGTTGCCGACTCTTTTCCTGTATCCAAGCAGGCCACCTTCCGAGAACAATAGACCGATCGATGGAGACGACATCGTTTAACTGGAGGACGGCGAGCACGGCAATGGCAAGTACGGCGGCATGAACGCCTCCGCTTTTGGTGCAATGATTCACATTGTTCACCATCAAAGTCTTGAAGAACAGAGGAAAAAATATCACAGGCACGCAGTTGCGCTCCCAAATCGTTCCCTAGAAAGCGATCACGAAGCATCAATCGCTGACAGTGATAGCCGAGAGCAACACCCTGTTTCATGGCGCACCGAAGGATTTCGTCCGATGCTAACAAGGGAAAAAACAAAGGCATCAAAACCAGCGTGTCAAAAAAAAAACTGCTTAGAGACAAGAACATTGGGGAAATTATCTGCTTATGAAATGCCACTTTGAGCTGCCACGTCTCTCGCTAGAAATAATGGCACTTCTATTAACAACAATGCCATTAAGAACAAAGGCTTCAACTACTTAGGCATTCGAGTGAAACATCTTGCTGGATTCGAAGTAAGAATCACGAACGATTCGAAGATGCTCCAAAAAGATACTTCTCCACTATCGCTACTCTACTATCGTTTGTTTAGTGAATTTTACCTGTTCCTCGGGAATCTAGAGGCTATCTCGGCTGATAGAAGCCTACTATTATAGGACAAAAACCAAAGTTCGTGATAATAATTAAGAGTTAATTACATTCGATTTTTTGACCTGGCGTCCCTCTGATTAGTGTTTTAGTGGCTTAATCAAATTAGCCATCGGAGTGAGTTATTTGACGTGTGGAGAGAGAACATGAAGGTGTTACAATAAGTTGCATGTGCATAACAGTCCTGAACAATACTGACTAGGATACGGCGTTGGTGAGAAATGTTCCATGAATGCATCGCACTGTCTCGAATATGCCTGAAGGCAGTCGAGACGAACATGAAAATAGACTTCTTCAATGAGGTGATCGTCTCAGATTTTGCAGTTGTAAAGTTTCTGCGATTTGATATAACTTTTTCTACCTCGGCTTAGACTTTCTACGCAATGAATGAAGATAAGAACAAGCGCTGGACCCATTTGGCGTGCGTTCGATCGCGGTAAAACCAACGGAATTGGTGTGGTACGAGTCAAACGAAGCTTCTGTCAGCATGATCGTCCCCATATGGATGGAAAGAAGTAACCGTTCGTTCAGAAGACATAAGACATCTTATTCCCTGAATTCGCCTCTAAAATAGCCTTCCCTAATAACAAGTATGAACATTCTCCGGAATACAGGCCGCCAACTGTATCCTCCTTGTTGATCAATCCAGATGGTTTAGAGGTATATTGTTCCGAACCAACAGTGAAGTTCAAGTTTGAGTGTATCTTAGCTTTGGCTGGCTAATGTGCCATCTGGTTCAACTTCGCATGGAAATATGCCGGCGACAGGCGGAAATGGAAGGCAGCCCTCGCGATGCGATATGACTACGGGATCTTTAATAGTGATCGCTATTGACACCAGCGAGTGCTTCTCAACAGGCAGTCGTGATTGCGTACGCAAAACGCGCTGTCTGTGAAAACAAGCGCAGTTATTGTGTTTGACAATGACGGCACTGATTACGTATGACACGGACGTGCATTTCCTTAACTCAGACAGTCACTCTAGTTGGGTTAGAGTTAAACTTTTTGGTCATCGATGGTGTCCGAATCGGATAGTTCGATGTGATCGGAAGAATAAGAAATTGTTGTTGTTTCCACTTTGAGATTCTCAAGTGCAAATTAAATAGGGACCTCTAGAAGGGTTTCATGACTAGTGGCCACAAATGCCCTAGGGAAATTACACATGACAGGAGAGCTAATATTAATGGCTGTGGGATGCCAAGCACCTTAACTGTATGTAAGGCCTTGGTTGTCACTACCGAGGGTTATTATTGATACATTACTAGATACGATGACATTACCAAGGATGAGTTACCCCTCAGTCTCGCTGCTAGCACCGGCGCGTCCACAGGTAGCGAAGACTAGGACAACCTTCAGTGAAGGCTGGCTGTGAAATAATCAAACTCTCGGATCTGCTGAATAAACAGTTACAGATCAATAGTGAATATATTACGAGGGTGTGGATGGCCGAGGCCTGGCACACCGGAAGCCGGTAAGGTTCGATGACGGCATTGTGACATGGTGACCGTAAACCGCGGGTAAATAAGATGGCTGGCTACTACTGCCTTCTGGTTACGTTCTTGCGCCAAAACGTCAGAGACGATCTTGAACAATCGGAGGAACAGTCGGAGAGTCACCCGTACTCATAGTTCCCAAGAAACCTCATGATCGAGTATAGTATAGTAGTATAGTATAGTACAGTATATCAATCCATGCTAAGATATTGGCGAGAACTAGTGCACTCGACAATCCTTGTGTTAGCGAATAGTATGCTACCTGGACTGCTTAATCGAGAATGGAATCTTGGTTACGGATGCTGGAACGTACGAACCTTCCTGGATTCTAGTACCCAAAGGCTGGCGGCACCCCGTCGTTGCCAGTACAACGTGGGTCTTTGATACTCGTCTGAAATCCGAATTCCAGGATCAGGCACTCGGGCAATAAAGGTCCGGGGGTCAACTCATACTTTACTGTGTACGACAGATTTTCGCGCGACCTTTCTGGTAAACACAGTCTCGAGGTTGCCCTCTTGCA